ATAAAATAATATTACTATACTATATTATTCAGAAGTATATATAATATATAAAAATATGAATACATAAATGCTTTTGTCTGTAAAGATTCAGAATATATTAGAATACATTTTGCATTAGAAAATTTTAAAATTAAGATTCAGGAAGGAAGTAATAGGAATTATTATGTTAAAGCATTGCATAAAGCCTTATAATTATATTAAATATATTCGTAATTAAAACAAAATTTGCATAAAATATTATTAAAGCTTTTCATCTGCCTTGCTTGTCGCTTCTGGTGCCACTGTGCAGCCAATAAAATGAGTAGACGTGTGCTCTCTCACTGCCTGACTGGGTTTTTGCGCTCTTTGCTCGATTTCTGGGGCTCCTTTTTGGCTAGTTGTTGACTGCCGGCTGACGGTGACGTTGACGTTGACTTCACTGCCTCTGCCGCTGCCGCTGCCGCTGCCTCTGTCGCTGCTTCTGCCTCTGCTGGCGCTGCCATTGCTCCTGTTGTCGACTGTTGAGCCTTGCTCCTGCAGGTTAACAGCCGCTATTCATTCTTAGTGTGGACGCGTCGCTTGCGTTTGTCAGTTGTGCCTGAGCTTGTGCCAGCGTCAGTCAGTCAAATTTAACGTCAGCTACAGAGTTTTTCAAGTTCCGATTAGCATTTTCCAACGCTCAGCACAAAAAATTATTTAGAAAAAAAAAAATACCAAATATAACAAAAACTGGCTGATATTTTTGTGGTTGTGAACCTTTTTGTAGCTCTTTTGATTACGATTACAACAAATGCAACAGTAAAGAAAAGTTTTAAACAATAAAAACATATTTTTTGAACAGAGTTTAGTACAAAAAGGTTTCAGCCAAACAAAAGTCAAAGTGCAAAAAAAAAAAAAACCAAACAAACTCCAACAAAAGTTCATACAAAAAGTTGAAGCCCGCGTGTGTCTGCGTAAAGGATTTGTTGTCGTGAGTGTGTGTGTGTGTGTGTGTGGGTGTCGGTGTGCATGTGTGTGTGTGTCGACTTTGTTGTTGCCACTGCAATTGATTAAACAACAGCGATTGCCTGGTTCTGGTCTGGTTACCTGGGCCAACTCAAAGTACAGAGACCAAGCAACAGAGTCTAAGCCAACACACAATGGGCTGCAACACCAGTCAGGAGCTGAAGACAAAGGACGGCGGCGCCATCGATGCTGTCAGCAATGGCGAAACGGAGCCGAGTGCACCACAAATGGAGCTGGACGACGGTGGCAACTCCTGCTCGGCGAAATCCTCCAACAATCATACAAATCACGCAAAATCAAATTCAATTATCTCCAATGGCGATGCCAAGGCGGCAGCCGTCGCAGCCATCACCAAAGGAGCCAGCGCGGCAACAAATGGCGTCGACCGTTCATGCGATAAGGCGGAAATCACAGAATTCAACGATGATGTCGAGGAGGAAGGTAAGACCCAAATACTACATATCAAATACAATACGACAAATATCCCAAAAAAAAAGAAAAGAAATACATTCATATTACATAGCTCTTCAGTGTGTATGTGTGCGTGTGTGAGCTTCTATTCGTATTATGTGTGTGTGAGTGTGTGCGTGTGTGTGTTACCTTCATTATTATTTATTGTATTTTTTGTATTTATCAAGTGTGTATGGCTGTGTGTGGCAAATCCCTATCGCAGTGCCCCTCAATTTCATCTCTCTCTCTCTCTCCCTCTCCGTCCCATTCTAATCCAATAACGCGCTTAATGGTGTCGCAAATATAAATTGCCTTAAACATATACATATATACAAATACACATGTGGAGAGGGCATACATGACTGCTTAATGCGCACTACACTGCACTACAACATTACACTCTGCTACACATTCGAGCACATTTTTATACCTTATGTCCTTTGATGACTTTTGTACATTCATGATTGCTTGTGCTAGTGTTGTGTGTGTGTGTGCGTATATGTTCTTTGCAAATTGCTATGTCCTTCGGCGAATTTGTGCAGCACTTAGCTTGGTTAAGTAGCCGCACTGTTGCCAATCTTGCGCTGACTCCAAGCCCAACATTTGCCCTAATGGGCATTATAACAGGGCATGTTTCACAGTTTATGTTATCTAATAAGCGCCACATAAATATATCTTTATGTCCGTGCTAAGAGCATAACATAAATATATTATTAACTAGAGGCATCTATTTATTGCCAACGTATTCGGGCTGCTGCGTTGCTAAGAAGTAGCCAGGCGTTTGGCACTGAGATTGTGAATACGTGATACATCTTGGCTTAGTTCGTGATTCATGGCGTTTGTTGTTGAATATTTAAAGTTAGTGAATGAAACAATTTTTGATTGAACTAGGTGTAAATAGAGTTTAAAAGCAATAAAAAATACAAATGCCTTAAGCATTTGGTTTGTGCCTATATATCATCATATATCATCAATTATATAACAAAGTTTCTTACCAGACGTAGTAGGTACGGATCATTGCTGAGGGGAAGCTCTTTGCTTGGGTATAGCATTTTGAATATATTTTTAACTCATAAGAGCGAGCACTGAAACACTCCCATTATGATCTTCACTGAGGTCAGCTTGAACAGCTAAAGAGCTAAAACGAGCTAATACGAATCACCTTGAAACTGAAACAAGAGGCGAGCAGTTGTGTTTCACTTTTGTTCTGTTCTCAATTCCATTGGACCTTTTCTGAGTCAGTCTTGCTTAGAGCTTCATGGGCAACAGCAGCTTAACATTTCATGATCTCAACTGCCTTTTAGTTGCTTCTTTAAAATGCTAGTCCAATATATGTAAATTAGGCATTTTTAAAGTCATTCATGTCATTGAAAGGGTCAGTTATGTACATATTTACACCCTTTTTTTAAGGCCAATTTTAAACACTGTGTTTAAATATATATGTGTTTAAAAATATGGTTATTTATTATTTTAAATATTTATAT